GTTAATCTATATGTTGCCACATGTTCCATGGCTTTACCTGTGTGCCATTTTATGCTGCTCCCTGGGCGGTGGGCTGGTGTTTCCTGACTCAGCCTTCCAGCCTTCCCATACTTCTCCTTCTCTGCTTATCCCACCTGTACTCCTGCCTGGCTACTGGCCAATCAGCACAGCATACAGAGCGATATCCAAAGCACATTTCTTGTTTTGAGTTTCCACAAACTCTGCAATGCTAATAACAGTCTGATGAAATTAACTTACTGGAAAATCAATGGTAATAAAACATAAGAGATCTCTAGAAGAGATCTATAGTAAATTACTACAGTGAGAAAAAAACACTGCTTAAAAAAATCAAAGGGCAAGAGAGATTGTTCAGTGGTAAGGAACACTTGCTGCTCTTCCACAGGACCTGTTTGGTTGCCAGTACCCACACTGGACAGCATATAACTAGCTCCAGGGAATTCAATCATCTCTTCTGGCTTCTATGGCATCTGTACTCATGTGCATATACACCGCCCCCCTCCACAGATACACACCAATAACCACAATTAAAAAGAAAGTAAATCTTTAAGAAAACACTCAGGACTAGGGAAATCAAATGAAAGCTAACAAATCAGGCTGTCAGGTTGGCTCAGCAGATAAAGTCACTTTTTTTCAATCCTGGTGACCTATGTTTGATCCCCAGAACCCACATGGTGGAAGGAAAGAACCAATTCACACATGTTGTCCCCTGACCTCAACATATGGGCTGTGGTGGTTTGTACTTACACACACACACACACACACACACACACACACACTTAAATAAATGTAATTTTTTAAAAAGGCTAACCATTCACTAAAGGGGTATCACTAATTTATGAAACTTTAAAGTTCTGCTTGGGCAATAGGATCAGGAAAAAGGACATAAAAGCTATTTGTCCTTTCACGGCAGTGGTGGTTAAAGGTACACACCTTTAATCTCAGCACTCAGGAGGCAGAAGCAGGTGAATCTCTGTGAGTTTGAGGCCAGCCTGGTCTAGAGAGTGAGTTCCAGGACAACTAGACAGAACTAAACAGAGAAACCCTGTCTTGAAAAACCACAATAATAATAATAATAATAATAATAATAATAATAATAATAAAAGAAAGAAAGAAAAATATAGCTATTTGTCCTAAGCCTTATGCCTTATATAACTCACTATTTCAATTGTTACTAAACAAAACTAGGAACAACTCAACTGGTTATAAATGGTGACTTATTAAATAAATGTGACAGAATCATACAACAGAATACTACTCCCACCATAATAAGGAAAAAATACTGATGAACATGACATAGTTGGATCTCAAGATCACTACACCAAGGGAAAAAAAGCCAGAAATAAAATAGTAAGTAGCTGTCATGGAACACTGTCCCCTAGCCATAGTATAGTCTTTGTCATTTTATTCAGATTAGCTGTGGTTACCTGCAGACATTCCTGAGCAGGATCCACCCTGTTGAAGGTCCCCCACAGAAAGAGTGAGAGAAGCATTATCAACCCCTGACCTGAGGTTAAGGCCACTCAGACCAACCTGCACTTCCCCCTCAGCTGCACGTAGACTTGGGAGGAGATATAGGGAGGTGACAGGTTATAGAGGGGGCATTCCATCTGTGCAGCTTTTAGGAGGTTATCATCCACGCTGGGGTGCAACTTCCCAGTGATGCGACTGTGTGGAGATCACTTGTAATCCTGTAAGTAACTCCTCCTGTACACAACTGTGAGAAAGCCAATTAAACTCATTAATTCGCCAGGCACATGGATTCAACAGAACCACTCCATTAGTCTGTTGTCGGTACCCCACGTAGAGTGAGTATATGCTTGATCACATCTCTGCAGAAAAAATCACTGAAGCAATACCAGGACAATAAAACTCTTAAAAATGTAAACTTCTACCCGGGCGGTGGTGGCACACGCCTTTAATCCCAGCACTCGGGAGGCAGAGCCAGGAGGATCTTTGTAAGTTCGAGGCCAGCCTGGACTACAGAGCAAGATCCAGGAAAGTTGCAAAGCTACACAGAGAAACTCTGTCTCGAAAAACCAAAAACCAAAAAAAAAAAAAAAAATGTAAACTTCACGATACAAAAAAAGTAGATCAATGTGAGCCAGAGAAGTGGCTCAGCAGGTAAAGATGCTTGCCAAGCAAGCCCAGTGACCGGAGTTCAATCCCTAGAACCCACATTAAGATGGAAGGAGAAAACAAAATCCACAGAATTGTTCTCTGACCTCCACATGTGTGTCATGACATAGGCACATGCATGCTCCCACATACATCATACACACAATATTAATAAACAAAATAAAGTATATGTAAAGAAGATTGAGACATGGCTCAACATTAAGAGCACTTTCTTGGTCTTTCAGAAGACCAGAGTTCAGTTCACAGAATCTACATCAGATGGCTCAGAACTGCCTGTAGCCCCAGATCCAAGCGATCCAATGATTTCTAGCTTTTATGGTGGGCACCTGCACATACATGGTGTACACACACATACACACACACACACACACACACACACATTAGCACAAATGAAAATAATATATTGAAAGTAAATGAATAAGTTTAAAAGTAGATGAGGGCTTCATTGGAGCAAAGGGCATTGGATGGGTGATGGACATGTTCTGCATGTTGACTGTGGGGGGAGAGCATGGGTGACAACTAGAAAATCCATTGAACTAGCTGAGCGCAGTGGCATACATCTGTAATCCCAGCACTATGGCCAGAAGAACTGAGGTTAGCCTGGGATACCTACAGAGACCATGTAAACATAAATACGTAAATCAATAAAATAATCTCTTAAAATTTTGCTTGCTTTCAATAAAAATTTGTATTTAGGGACATGGTTAGAACACAACCTGAGTAATCATTGCAGCATTGAACTGAAGGCTTTCCACCTTCTCCTGAGTTCCACAGTCCTTCCAGATGCTTATACTAACTCATACATGGCAAACCACTTCCGAAGTGAGGAGAGTTCATTTCCTTGACCAAACCCCAGACATAGATGACCTACCTGGTGCTTTCTGTTAATTTCTTTTATTTGGGTTGCGATTTCAGATACAAGTTCTAGCTATGGAGTTCAGATTGATCTCAAACTGGCTTTATAGTCCAGGCTTGCCTCAAACTTCAACCTTCCTGTCTCTGCCTTCTGAGTGTTGGGATTATAGGTGCACACCACCATTCCTGAACGGCCTACTTACTTTTATAGGAAGGTAATCTTTCTCCTATCTCTCTAACTAAACAGCAAAGTCTCAAATACTCATCCTCATCACACTGTATAGTCACGAGCAAAGCCTTGTGTGGTTACTTTTCACTGCTGTGACAGAAACAATTGAAGGGAGGCAGGGGATGAAGTCATCATGGCAGAAAAGCATGATGGGACAGTTCACATCAAGGCAGACAGGAAGCAGAGTAAAGGAAGGGACTTACGACCACATATAACCCACAAAGCCCACCACTGCTTAGACATCAAGGGTTCAGACTGGCCTGTGGGACACATTTCACATTCAAGCCATTGCAGCTATTTAACTGTACATGATACTGTCATATGACAATGCCTTGACATGAAGAATCACTTCATGTAGAGATTGTTGTATTTGTCTTTAGCATATTTGGTAACAAATTCTCTTTATATTTTTGTATTCTGTTTCATTCTTTATAAATCTGTTTGTCAGAAGCATTTCAAAATAATATTTGTTCACAAATTAATGTTCATATTATTCTGTGTTTATTTTATATTTTGCTATATTTCAATACCTTTATAAGCTTTTAACACCCTTGCAGAACACACACATATATATTAACATAATAATTTATTAATAATTTTTAGTCATATATTAAATATTTATGGGAGAGAGAGAGGATGCCTTAATATATAGCCCTAGTTGTCCAGAACCTCACAATATAGATGGAATTCACCTGTCTCTATTTCTTGAGTACTGGAATTAAAGCTCTGTGCCACCACCCCTGATCCTTACATTATGTATCTTAAATAATTATTGCCCAATACCTGATGTATTTTTTCAGGAAATAATTCAGTAAGCACTATATGCAAAGTTACAAGCTCCATCTATACTCTAGAGAGCCATTATCCAGTGTGATCTCTCCTATTTACGTGCATAGTACATAGCAAATCTCATCTATACATTCTCTACAACTTTTACACCAACTACAAAATGATTAGCCCAGAATTACATCAAGAACAATATCCAAAATCCACAGTCAAGGTTTGAAAGAAATACCTCCAGAGGTGACTCGATGACTCTTATACTTAATGTTTGTCCCAGCTGTTAAAGACACAGAGTAATTTAGAGGCAGGATTTTTTTGGTGAAAATGTTATTCACCATACATCAGGAGAGTGAGTCTCTTACTTAGGGATCAACAGCATCTTCCAGCAATTAGAGGAAAGGGATGACTTGGAAGCTTCAGTACAGCAGGAAAGATACTGTAGAGGTAGAATCCAGCCCATAAGCTCAGAGAATATAATAGCAACCTGGACCACTCAAAGAGAAAGAGGCATGTGGCTGGACATGTACTTTGGAGTGAGATTGTGTTTACAATGAAAGTCCCAAGCTTCCCAAATGGCTAACCCTTTACCAGTACCAGGACTTCTAGGGAACAAATTCTGACAGGACAGAGGGTGATAAAATCCATTCATTTCCTGACTCCAATCCATGTGAACTGCTTGGTTAGGACCCTGGTTATGTATCCCTCCTCCCATGGGAAGGCTTTCTACGGGAAAGAAAAAAATGGAGATCTTTCCAAAACATCAAGTAACCAGACTGGTAATAGGCAATGGGGAATTGGATTCAACTATGTAAAAGCACAGATCTAAAATCCTGGAGGAAGTAACTGATAATTTTCCACAAATAAAATCACAGATAAACACCCATAACCACAAGCAGATTATGTTTCTCTCTAAAAGATGCTAGTGAAATGAAATTTTAGGCAAGGGAAAGGAAGGGATTAGTCAAAGGACACTTACCCAGACCTTGATTCTGCTGCTCCCACTCCATGGTTTCTGGCACCTGGTAGGTTGCTACCTCTAGTAGGGCCATGCTTCCTGGCTCTACGTCAGGTTTCTGGGATGTGATTCCAGGGAGAGTAAACCCCGGTAACTCCGTATCACCATTGAAGTCCTTATATAAGGAGTCTGCTTCTTTATCTTCCTCATCTTCTTCCTCCTCTTCCTCTTCTTCATCTTCATCTTCTTCATCCTCCTCATCCTCCTCATCTTCTGCCTCTGGACAAACAGAAATCAAAGGGAAACTTGAAGATATGCACTGAGCATGTACTCAAACACATTAGTCTTTTGAAGTGATACAAACACTACAAAATAATCATGTTTGCCTTTTAAAACCAATTGTTAAAGTCAACATTGGGCAATCCGAGCTTTATGAGTTATATACCTTCTACATAACCAGTGATTTAAACTTTCAACATCACTGTTACATAAGATAACCAGCCTAGTTATTATGAATTAAAGTGTAGGAATTGTGGCTGTTAGTTTTTTGTCATATGACACATGCTGGAATTATCAAGGAAGAATGACCCTCAACTGGATGATGCTTTCCTAAGATTGGCCTGCAGGCAAATCTGTGGGACAATTTCTTGATTCATGATTGGTGTGGGAGGGACCAGCCCACCGTCTGCTGTACTATCCTTGGGCAAGTGATTCTGAGTTGTATAAAAAGCAGGCTGAGCCAGCTATGAGGAGCAAGCCAGTGAGTAGCACTCCTCCTTACCCTCTGCTTTGGGGTCCTATCTCCAGGTTCCTGTCTTAAGTTACTGCTTCCTTCATGGTAAAACGTGAAATGGATTTAGTCTCTTCAGTTGCCCTTGGTCAGGAATAGAAGGCAAATTAAGACAGGAACAATGAGTTTATAACTAGTTTATATTTCCAAGGCCAGGAAACATTTATGTTTTCTGGAGGTCATAAAATGTTTATCTGTTAGAAATTACATGGACATATCAAAGGACATAAAATAAATTATTTCCATCTTTTTGCATAATGTTATTAAAGAAGAAAATTCATTATTTTGATATACCTCCTCTTTCATCTTCTCAATGAATAGAATTCAGCAATGTCACATGAAAGGCAGATGAACTTAGAATGCACTCTCCATGTAGGAGAATAAACCAAAAACCTAGAAGTCATTGCATGAATATCCTCAATCCAGTGCTAAAGGAAGTTATGAAATGGGATATTCACCAAGAATGTCCATCACCTGTGAGAAAACATCACTAGCATTGTTAAGAGTTAATTTTTACAACTGAGCCTCCTTGGTGCTTCAGGTGGAGTGGACCGAGGGACCTAAGAGTCCTAATGCAATTGGTTTCACCGACTTTAATTTTTCAGGAATATTCATGTCCCCTCCTCAGTGTGGATTGAGCTCATAAAGCCAATGACTGATGGCAAAACTCACCTAAGGCTTTCTTTGTGTCTCTCCTGAGATGAGAGTCACTGTGGCAAGAAACTCTCCTCAGAGGGCAGAGAAGACAGGAGAACAGAAAACTAAAGCCACCCACAATCCTTCATTGTAACTTTTCCTATTTCCAGATTATACATACTCCTTGTTTTTTATCATTTAACAATTTCCTAGCTTGTCAACATATTAATTCTTCGCTGGTATGTTGTATTTCCAGGCAACTATATACATACCCTTGTCTTTTATCATTTAACGATTTTCTAGCTTGTCAACATATTAATTCTTCAATGGTATGCCACTAAGTAGAAGAGCACATGCCTGGTGTGTGAAAGTTCCTGAGATCAACTCTTAGAACCACAAAAGATAAAGTTTTTCTTCCTCTGTTCATATATGAGCCTCAAGTTTGTAGGATCAAGTACATGTAACTGTTGTCAAATTTTAACAGATTCTTATTGAGCATCAGATGGAAGCTGTTCCTGGCACCAGAGATAGAGGTCCTGGTTCCCAAGAGCTGATCTTCCCGTCAAAAAGACACAGAGTAAACTTGGATCCAGCATCAGGTACAGAGACTGCACTCTGATGAACACTGTCAGGAAGATAAAAAACACTATTATTTCAAATGGTGAAATGGAGGAAAGCTTTTCTCATAATATAAGGATTGTGTACCAAGATAAGATACTCTCTTGTGTAACTGAGATCAATATTTACAGGAAGAGCAGCCCCAGAAGAAGGGCTAGTAACACCAAGAGCTTTAATGCGGTGTGCACAGGCTGTGTTCAGAGACTAGCAAAGAGGTCACTGAGGACTGGGGATGGAGTGAGGGGACACTGAGGATATTGGAAAAGGTAGGGGTTAACAGACTCACAGCTCTTCAAAATGACTCAGGCTACAAGACAGAGAATGACCTTAACTGAGCACAGAGAGAAGGAAACCCATGAAGAGGCTCTTGGAACTTAGGGAATGAGCAATGGTGCCTGGAAGTAGATATGATGCAGATCTGCTGAGAACTGGTGATACAATTTGGAGAGAGATCCTTGTTCATTATTATTATATGAGACAAAAGAGGGAGGGAGATCCCACATCAGCAATGGGAACGCAAAGATGATATGCGAATTTAAGAACGTGATGTGAGACACATGATGTGATGGCCATGCCAATGACATCCACATGCAAAGGCTGCAAGTCCAGGGAAGGTTGACATGTGGAAGTTATCAACAGACAGCAACAGGGACTAGGTCCTTGCTCCTCTTAGTTTGTTATGACTGAAATGAACTATAATAGTTGAAAGTGAAAACTGTCAGGTCGGGATGTACCTCAGTCCACAGAGTGTTGTTGCCTAGCACTGGTGAAGTCCTGGTTTGATCTCCAGTACCACATAAAGCTAGTGTGGTAACGCATGCTTGGAATACCGGCACTTGGGAGATGAAGGCAGGAGTTTCAGAAGTTCAAGGTCAGTCTTAGCTACATAGGGAGTTGGAAGTTGCTATGGGCTACATGAAACCCTGTTTCTTAAGGAAGGAAGAAAGGGAGGGAGGGACATGAGAGAAGAAGGGAGGGATGAAGGAAGGAAAAGAACACTGAAACATTAAGCAGCAGTGTCAATGTTATACGCAGTGTCAATGAGGTATATCAAAATGCCTCATGACATTGAGTGATATGTTCCAATTTGAAGAAAAAAACGGTGTTGTTACACATGGCCAGGAGAGGGGGGGGATGTGTCTAGACAGTAAGCTCTCTAAGCAAATTTCATCTGTCTGTCCTCTCCCTGATAGAACATTTTAGCAGCAGCTTCATAGCTCACACCAGTCCTTTGTTCTGTTGAGGGTTTAAGTCTCTGAGCAACTCAAAGGCCTTGCCAGCAATATCCAGGAATTCACATTGTTAGCTGAACAGGGAAGAAATTTACAGGCTGTTTTACTTGCAGGCTGCTCCCTTAATAACCACATTGGATGCTCAAATAATATCAGGGCAGAGCTTTAAATGAGTTTTTTCAAACCCAGAATAGTTACCCTTCGTGGTTAGAGCTTGTTTTCATTATTAATTACAAACATATCTTCATTCTGTGGTCACCAAAACCAAGCTTTAGTTTTGCTCAGGACTAGACAGGAACAAATTTCACTGACCTCCATAGGCCGACCTCAGCAAAGACTGACCCAGGATCTCTCATGTAGACAATTTTATTTATTTATTTTTTCATGTCTGAAAGACCATCACATAGCGAGCATCTCCAGGCTGTCATTAACACATCACAGGAGTGAAGAACCCTTGCGGATGTATCATCCCAGCACAAGGAAAGGTACCAGATCAGGAACACGTGTCCCCAGCCTGTCCTGCTTGCCTGACTCTGCAACAGCTCCGCACCTGTTCCTCCTGCCTTCTTAGAGCAGCCATTTTTCATATGAATCCTCACCTTTAGCCTATTTGCTCATTAGTTTTATGAGGCAAAGATCTCTTTTCAGTGACTTCCCCTTCTACTTTCTAAGCTGAAAACAGGACCTAAGGTAATAATGATGCACGTGAGAAAGCAGACGGCTACTGTGAAGAAGGGAACTTCCTGGAGCTCAGTTGTATTAGTCTCTGCCATGTCCCTCTGAAGAATGGGAACATCTCTCAAATGAAGACATGTTTACAGGTATCTGGGAATCCTATGCCAATAGATTTGTTTTTAATCCCAAATTAAGGGTTCAGCAAAGACAGTTCAGTGGGTAAAAGTGCTTGTCACACAAACCTGATGATCTGAGTTCAGTCCCTGAACCCATGATGGAAGGAGAGAACTGGCTCCCATGAGTTGTTTTTTGACTGACCACACACACACACACACACACACACACACACACACACACACACCATGGCATGCACAAACTCACACTCACATGTGTCATATGCATGCACATGCACACACAGATAATCTTAGTAAATTGAATAAAATTGTTTTAATTAAAATCAATGTCTCTAAAAAGGTTTCCACACACATGAATAACTAAAGCCCCGGGAATGGTACTGCTTTTATATCCAGATTGTTCTTAAGTTGAGCATGAAATTGAGTGTGAAACTTAAAAGCCCAACAAGGAAAACTTAAATTTGTTCTGAGGATATGAAGCCATTCTCCAGCAGATGGCTCTCTAAGAGTAGAGGATGCTGAGGAACCTCAGACATTCCCAACTGTCACAAAATCTGTCACCTCAGGGCACTAGCTCATTGAGAATTTGATATATCGCCTAACATTTCTAAGATCTTAAATATTCCCACCTTTATATTTTTATTGTACATAAGATATATCAAATATTTGTGCATATGTATGTTATGAAGCTTAATATAAAATTCCAATATGAATAGCATACATATATACATACCCATATGTGTGTTACCAAGCTTCCTAATATAATAACCCCAGAGAACTCAGCATTGTACTAAGAATTAGAATGTGATTAATATTCTTGCACGAGGGCTGAAGTGATGGCGATGAGGTTAAGATACCATAGCGCAGTTGCAGAGGCCCAAGTTCAGTCCCTGGCACCCATGTCAGATGGTCCACCAACACCTTTAACTTCAGATCCAGAAGGATCCAGCCTCTAAAGTCAAGTCACATGCACCTGTTTATACAACACACACACACACACACACACACACACACACACACACACACACACACACAAAAAAAAAAAAAAAAAACTAAATCTTTATAATTATACACATACACATAAACAAACAAAGTAAATATTTTTAAAAGGCTTTAGAACACTTTCTTTCTTAGGATACCTTCCTGATTTATTTTGCTCTCCACTATTTTGGCTCTGTCCTCTCCTCCTACATC